AATGGTGTTACCTGTAAAATTGATATGTGTATATATGTATATTGATGATGAAGGTGATTTTGTTTTTTTGTAGTTAAGTATTTAGTGTTTATTTGTTTGTTGAGTGGATGTGAAGGAACAGTTGATTTAGTTTACAGTACTGATCAGCCAATGGAGAAACTATCATGTGAGAGATATGCAGTAGAATGAAGTGGAGATGGATTGTGTATACACTGAGAGAGGCGATTAGGCGACATAATACGCCATTCCAGGTCATCGAGTGGAATCTAAATGGGAAACGTCGACTTGGATGTCACATCTGATGGTGACATGGAGTAGATCATGTGATGAGGAAATGAAAGCGTGTTGACAGTGTTGGAGTGAGGTTGGAAAGATTGGAGATAAGAGAGTTGAATGGAGGCGTGCTATTAAAGCCCTGTATTTCACTAGGAGCTCCAGATAAATATAATAATCATGACTATGCTCATCAGCAACTTACTGGTTGTTGGATTTTTTGAGATTGTATTTACACAGCGTGAGGTGTAGTGTCAAGTGAACTTAGAGAGATGCATATGCCCATTAATGATATTGTCAGATGATTACGCTTCTACGTTTATTTGCAAGCATACATTGAAATGAGGGTTCTATATATAGTCTAATTTATTTTTATTTCTGAGTTATGATGTGGTAGGATTCTTTCATGAGTTAGCTAATTTTATTGCGGTCTTCTGGCGGTACGTATCCTTAGTATACAAAGATATATAATAGAAGTTTTAGTGGAATACAAATCTTTAACTCAGTACATTTGTGTTTTAAGTGGTAGCACAAATGTCGAACTCTGACGCTTCGTTTGGAGCTTTGAGAATGATTTTTAGTTTACAACATGTCTAAACTGATTTACTTACACTATAGTAACTAAGGTACGGGAAAAATGATGAGTTGATTTATTTTCAGTTAATATTCAGCTCTGACTGTGATAATCATTTGAAAATCTATTTATCACTCATGCTGATCAACAGTGATCGCATGTCAGATTCAGAGGATCTAAACACCTGATGACTTGTTCGTTGATCTCAGGTCGATTTTAACACTGGTTAGTGTTGTCTAGTGAGAGTAATGGAAATAGGTAAGCTCTGATTCTTAAATGTCATTGTGTTTTTCTATAGAAGCCAAAACATTTAGACAATATAATGTGTCTTGTTCTACATCACCAATAGGATCGTAACTGTGAACATGAAAGCTGTACAAATTATACTACTAATTGATATGAGTAGTTGTCATCTCATCATATAGATCAGTAAGGATCATCAGTAAGATCAAAGTGAACCAAAATACCATGAGGAATATTTCGTGCAGTTTTCGCGCTGACAATTGTGTTGCTATCTATAGTGTCTAGCAAATCACACTTAATGAAATCTTAATATTTTGGTTACCATACGAAACCGAAGTTACTTTTCATCATTATGTCTTGTCTAGTTCTTTCATCTTCACTATAAGGATAATATCACTCAATGGACGGCAGGTACACCCAACTGACGAGTCCTAAGTGGGACGAAATGCGCATCTTGGAATCCACCGCTAGCCACTATCCATCTCTACTATATATAACCAAAAACATATACAATATCGAGGAATCCGTGCAGGAGTCCATATACCGATAGAAGCAGATCAATTCGGTCCAATCAACGACGGTACAATACAAGCGATAACACTCACTAAGAAGCGTTTATCTAGCTAACACCTGACTTGATTTTACATTAGATATCTCATGAATTTATGGGAATTTGATCATTCAACATTCATGACTATGCACAATAAAGACACTGGTTCGATGGATAACTGCTGATTTGAATTTTAGTATAACCTTCGCTTACCTCAAATCTCTTGGTTCCTCCATTAAATTACTCTGAATGACTTCCTTTATAAAGTGATTTGAATCAAGGAAAAGCTTATCCATTTCTTTTCCCCATTAGTAGCTTGAAATTCATTTAGAAATTCTTCTTTAAGTAATTTCATTACATTTTAACGAATTCGTGTTCATTTAGTTTATACGGCTGAAGTATAGTCGTCGAAAGTAGAAGATAAGAAGCGATTACAGGGTTTTGATCATAGATATCTTTGTAGCATTGTTGGTATTTGCTGGAATCGATATGTGAGCAAAGTTGAGGTCAGACGAAGGATACTTGGCAAGAGAAGCAAGTAGATTGATTAGGATGTGAAGCTTAGTCAACTGAGATGGCTTGGACATGAACTGTGCATGCCATACCATTGCTCACCTTAATATGTCATGGTAAACAAAGTTGTATTAGGTTGGAAAAGGATTCAGAGTGGGCAAAGCGAGACATGGCACCAGTCGATGAAGTCCCTAACTGTTGGTCTGAGCTATGGCAGGAGATGCAGAATGCGTGGGTGGAGGCCTCGAGACGATAGGGGTCAACGGTTGAGCACCCTTGGTGACATGGCTGAACATGGGTCATGAGAGCGCAAATGTATTCACATCTGGATACCTAAAGCTTGGATATTTTCATGAACCTTCATCTTCAGGTTGTTTGTTTTCTCACACTTTGATATCAGTCTTTTGCTATCTAACTGCTGCTTGTCTACTACTGTGAAGTGAAGGAAATTGCACCGATGCTTTTGTGTGCAAGTCTCTTCGTTGATTTTATCTGCCCGTCTATGCATTTATCAGCTTATTTAAACAATCAAAGATATTTTATTGATATGTTTTCATAATTTCTCTTGTCATCTGGTCAACATACTGTTTTATAAGCTTTCAGTCATACTTTACCGTTGTTGTGCGCTTTCACAATCAAAATGCTGCAGAGTTTACTGTAACCTCTGTTTATCCAACTAGTTCAAATAAGTTTGATTTTTTTCAAGGTAGTATTCATCGTAAATCATTGAAAACTTCAAAGCACTGGACAACTGTTTTGTCCCGGAATGAAACTCATTGGCAATGCTTACCTATAACCCCACCAACCATCGAAACCAAGACAGTTAGAACTCATTACAAGTATCTTGCCATTCCGATTGTCTACATTTTTGTAAGTCTATCAGTTCACAATACATTACGACTAACACTTAATGGTTGTTTGTAGTTGTATAGATATCCATCTAGATCAACCTAGGACCAGGTCCGGTCCAACTTGCCACACCTCATTTCAGTACATCAAGTAAAAAGGCAGTGAGGTGCAAGATGAAGATAAGAATATTCAGTCAAAAGAAATATAAAGTACGAGAAGGAGGAAAGGAAGAATGAGAAAGTGGTGAGACTCAGTATAGTGTCGTTAAGATGAGGATAATGTGTGTGGGGATACATCTGCACCACTAACATCGCTTCTCAGCCATATCACCTAGAGTCAGTCTGCAAACACTGGTTCCTCTTGTCCCGTGGACCCCAACCACCTAGTCTGCATCGTCCCACATAGCTCAAACCAACAGCCAGACACTCCATGCATTGATGCCATGTTTTAGTCTGGCCACCTGGCGCTTTTTTCCAGCCTGGACCTACTTCGGTCAACATTGTGTGACGAGGCAATCGATGACTAGACATATATAGTACGTGTTCCAACTAACCATCTCAGTCGATGAAGGTTCACAAGTCTTATAGATAAGCGAATTTTAGTGGATATTATATCTTTCCAGTATTTATTACATAAGTCATCTCAGTTTCAAGTGTTTCCTTCAACCAATGTCTTCGAAGTAGTACTTCACTTTGTTTAAATAGTTCATGTGTTCCATGAAAGTGTACAAACTGAAGAGGATTTCAGTAGTGTGTAAGCAGCATCCTTGTAAAATAGACTATTTTTCTCAAGATAGGCTTACTCAGACTGTTTACACACTGTATCTACCCTGTTATTGAATACAAGGTGTCTAAGTCCCTTCAATTGTACTGATGTTTTGAACAAACGTCTAAATAATAAACAATAAAGTATGCTTCATTCATAAAGACTTTCAAAAAGATGAACTAATTCAACGAAGAAATTTTCCTTTTTGAACAATCATTTTCAGTAGCTGTATAATCGTGTTTATAGTGATAAACAAACAGCTGACTGGTAGCTCAACTTTAGATCATCAAAACGGAATACTGTAGGATGAAATAGTGAGTTGTATTTAGAGTGAGTGTTTTTGAGGAAAATATGCAGTATTCATCATGGATTGACATCATTTAGAGAAATATTTAAAACCTTTTAGCACTGGACAGGTGTTTCGTCTCAGTATGGGACTCTTCAGCAGTGCGCATAAGCGATCTCAGGTTTCTAATTTTCCTCCAACTGATGTCAGTCTATAATGAATACCAACTTGAAAAATCTCTAAATCCCCACAATGCCCGGAATTCAAATATACAGTAGATTAACGTGATGACTAATAGGTTATAAACCAGACAGGTTAAAAATAATAACAATAATTATAAACAATAACCGGAGTAGAGTATTATGAGGATTTTAAAGAGAGGTTGTAGCAAACACGTCAGGATATGGAAAAGTAAACCGCAAAGTAAGAACAAAAAGTATTGACAGTTAATGCATATCGAAGCAATCTAGAAAGTTAAGGAAACATTATGACCGAAACAAAAGAAGAGAATGGAATAACCTCTTCTGTACACAGAGCTCAAGCTTTAATTGTTGAATTATTAACACCTGTGCTATAAATGACTTTGTATGAAATTTTGAAAGAATTCTATGAGGAAGCAAAATGACCAGGGTTGATCAAATGATTCAAGATGGAACTGTTGCTTGGTTTGTGTTTTCTTCTGAACAATCGCAAAGTATAGTGCTCGGAGATACGTTTAGAAAAACAGTGCTTTGTGTGTCCTTCAGGCTATCTTAAATCAACTGTTAGCTGGAGAATAGATTTCATAGTTTGGAGAGATGATTCTTCAATATGTCGACTGCTTTATCTCCTGTGAATTGAACATACTCTTTCCTTTAGAAATGTATTATTCTCTTTACCAGCTTTTCTTCTTATCCATTTAGCTGATTATAACAAAATTCTCTTTTTTTCTTTCTTTCTATGTTTAGACAACACAGAGGATGGATGAAATTAGGGAATTGAAGTCAAGAATTCTACATATTCAAAATGTTACACAAGCTAAGTTGTCAGAGTTTAAACAAAAGTATTGTGTATCACAACAGATTGCTTATAATAAGCACCAAGGTAAAATTTTGAAGTAATTAACTACTCATTTTATTGACACGTCAGCCATTTATTATTACTATTATTATCAACATCAATTAGCTGAAGTTGTTACCACATAGTGGAGTTATCAATTAACAAGGTTCTACAGAATTGTGTAAAGTAAAAGAATTTATGACATTCTGTCCTTATACGCTTATTTCATTTATCATCTAACCCACTAATTTGACTATAGATTAAGTGTTAAACGTTGAGAGCTGATCGTCAGGAAGGCTTGTCTACTTCAAGTTTCATACTTGTTGGCACTCACTAAAAAGGCATATGTAAAACTCTAAGGAACTAATTTTCTCTTGGTGATTGAAACCTGCTTCTCTCAGTCCTGAAGTTAGCGACTTTATGACTAGACTGTTGAGAATACAAGTGTCCGTCAAAGAACTCGATTATGTTCATGAATTGGTCATCATTGAGTAGAAGATGTAAGCCCATTCCTAACAAAAAGACTTAAATGGAGCTATAATCTACCAAAGTACCCAAGTAACTGTTTGTGCCTCAGTTTTAACGCTGGTCGAAGTTTATCGATGAGGTTTTTGTTAATGAAGGCTGACAAGAACTAAACCTAGGTCAGGCAGTACCTCCTGGCTACCAACTCTCAATATCTTACATCAAGAATAACACACTGTAGTGTTACGTCACTTAGCCTAGTGACCATGTTCTAAAAATCGACTAATATACTTCGATCCGTGCTAAGAGCTAAGAACTAGACGACTGAATCGGTAGCTCACTGATGACTAGTTTGTCTGACTATGGTTCTGATCCCTGATAGATTCATGATTGTACACTGTTCAGTAGTCCCATACTAGAAGGAAACAGCTGTCCACTATTCTTAGGCTTTTAATAGTTGGCCAAATGATATCAGTCCATGATTAACACTAACCTGAAAGCAATAAGTAAATCCCCACAAACCTCAACTATATTTTAATATTATTTTCGTTTGTTTCCCATTTAAATCATTATGGGGCTGTTGTTCATCGATTTAAGCAGTAAACTTCTAGTCATTAAGTCACACGATTCCAAACTCATTTATCTATCGAGGTCTGGGTAACCAGGTAGTATCATTAGGTGTCCCATAATATAGATGTATCATTGCTTACTTCAAGAAAGTGCATAAGGCTATTGGGTTGGTTGGAGGCAATAGAAAGAAAGCTCTGTACCTAGGTTTTGTGCTTGTTGATACTAGTCAATAAGGTATATCTAGTCAAGCTAGGAGGCTCTTAGTTTGGTGGCCACACTACAAAATGTTCGACAGAATTCTATCGGCCCTCAGGACAAGACAATATGAAATGGATTGCTCTACAGTGATACTCCAGTGTGTGGTTATTCAGATTCTGTCGTCAATCGTTCACTCACTAGCTTTATTATTATTTTCCCTTAGGTTCCTAGTGGAATATAGGGTTTCAGGAGCACTCATTTCTTCGTCGCATGATCTCCTCCATGTTATTCTGACCTTGGACGCCCAACTCGTTGTTTCCCATCTGGGTTCCATTCGAGGACCTGGCACCTCCTCGAATGTCCCAGAATAGTCTTCTCAGAGCATGCCCAATTCATCTCCACTTCCTTCTGCATATTCAATGATTGAAGTTAAAAATCGGTTAGTATTCAAGTTTCGTAGTAATCTGGAGACCGCTAGTTCAGGTCCATGTTATAAAATCAAGCTATCATTTCATTTTTCTGCATAACTACATATCGATAACATTAATCTATTAAGAACCATAACCATCTTATAAGATTTAATGAATCAAATAATGCATAACACTTGAAATATTTATGATTTACATTTGTTGCCTAGTTTCAGTAGGTGAAACATTGGCAATAAAGTTGTGAGAATGGTTTATACTATTACTTTGAATTATTGCATATATATACAGCACCATATGATGTAATTTATTATCATGACAATGAGAAATTGCATTGTAAATAATTTCTTACATCTTGTGAAATCATTTTATTCAATTAATGTTAGTACATTCAATAATAATCAAATTATAGTTTGCCATATTCCCTATAATTATAAAAACTATTATTATTATTGATCCCTTGGGTTTCTAGGGGAACATACAGATTCAGTAGCACATCACCATTCCACTCTCTTCTCTCCAATCTTTTCAACCTGGCTCCACGATAGCCCACTAGCTCTCATTTCTACTTCACACCATCTCTATGTCACCCTCAGTTGCGAATCCCAACTCGCCGATTCCCTTCTGGGTTCCACTCGAGCAACTGGCCTACCGCATGATGTCCCCAATTGGTCTTCTCAGTTCATGCCCAATCCAATCCATCTCCATTTCCTTCTACTGCATATTTGCTCAGCGATAGGTTCTTGTTCGTTGGTTCGTTACTCATCAAGAGTTCCTCCTTGTTTATTCTCATTATTCTGGCCATCTGAGCTTCAGTATCGAGTGGGCATAGGTGGCAGTTGTTGATGAATATCTATAGTTTGTTAGAAATGCCTTTCGTGACGCGCCAACTCACTCAACCATATAACAGCACTAACTTGCTTGACTGTATTAGTGTTGATAATCCGGATGTTGTTCAAGCTTTGTGCTGAGTGCAGATCTAAACACCAGTTTCAGGTTAATGAAGAAAGGCCTCTCTTGCTATCTTTTCGATCCTGGCTGTTTTGACATCACTGTCTATGCCTGTGCAGCCTGTAGTTGAAACGATGCTGTCTGCCTAGATAGGTGAAAAAGGCTTCTTCCTCTAAGTTTCTCCCGTTCATGGTGAATGGAGCCTGTTGTTGTTGGTGGTGGTGATGCTGCTTGGGTATCATTTGTGTTCTTCTTCTCTGTGTTCAGTTGAAGTCCCATCTTCGCTGCACTACCTCTTCTGTCAACTTGTTGGATTTCACTTGTGGATCTTCAAGTTTGTGTGACACAAGTCATCTGCAAAACCCAAATCTTCTGGGATCTCGACCCCTGTCAAATAACCTATCCCCCTCTTCTCGATCCTCACGATTTGCTACATGATACAGTCAACCACAATCAGGAAGACCATGTATGGGTGATAGTAGACAGCAGTCTTGTCTTTCTCCTCCCTGTCTTCACTTCACTTCACTTCACTTCAAAGGCATCACTGAGCTTCCCATTGTGAATTAGTTGGTATTTGGCATCTTCATATGGTTGTTGAATGAGGTTGATAGAGATTTGTGGCACTGAAACCATAGTGTTGAAGCAGCTGCCTGTTAAATTATTTGTTGGTCGATGCTGTGGAAGGCCTTTTCAAAGTTGATGAAGATGAGGTAGAATTGAGTTGCCATTCTGTCATTCTATTCTCTGTTCTATGATGATGCGTAGTGTAGAGTTGCAATTTGGTCTGTACATGGTTTGTACTTCCTGAATCCAGCCAGCTTGTTTCGCTCGTATTTTTGAATCCAGCGCATCCATTAGTCTCTCCAGGATGATGTGGCATAATATTTTGCTTTGGTTGAACAAGGGTGAAGCATGATTCCTCGCAAGTTCTTTCAAAGCCCTATGTCTCCCTTCTTTGTCTTTCACAAGGTAGCCCTTCTTCCAGTCTGCAGGTAACTTTCCTTGCTTACTTGAAAACCTTCTGCAGTAGTGGTGTCAGCATGTCCACTGTTGTCCTTGCATCTCTTCTCAGTGCTTCTGGTGGGATTCCATCTGGTCATGTTGCTTTCCAACATTTCAGTAGCCTTGTGACATTCAGGAATTCCAATTTCGTCAGAGGACTTGTGTTCACTTGTGGTTCTCTGGCCGGGCTACTAGTGGTATTTCTGAACAAAGTGCAGGTGGTGGTCGATTCAAGAGCTTCTTGAAGTGGTCAGCTCATCGCTTCCTTTGTTTCTATTATTTGGTAATTAGATTTCCTTCATCATCTTTCATTGGTTTCATCTGTGTTGATCTCTTCCCTCCCGGATACGAACCTGATTATTTGATACAATGTTGTCAGATCTCTCCTACCTGCAGCCTGATCTGCTTCACTTGCCAGTGTGTCGTAGAAGTGTCTTTTGATTTTTCACCCACTCTCCTCCATTTCTTCGTCCAGTTTAGTGTTGTATACGTTCTGTTCAGTTGCCCTTTTCGTTGTTCAGCCTTGCACTGGTTTATCTTCTGTTTCACCATCTTCCTCTCCCTCCTCTATCAGCTTCCATGTATCCATCGAGATCCATTCCTTATCTTCTTTCTTCTTCCTTCCTGATACGGTTATGCAGGTTTCTTTCCATATAGCTTCCAGAGAGTTCCAGTGTTCTTCCACGGAGGTTTCTTCAGGGATGTTCCTCGATATCTCCCATTTTGTCTTGATGGCTGACTGTCGTGAAGATTTTCTTTGTAGTTTCATCCTTCAGTTTCCGTTCTGTGTGTTGAACTTTAACTGTGTAGAGCACTTGAATAAGTAAGACATTTAGAAAATATGCTGTGACTATCTACTATTGCATCTCACATATCTTATATCTAAGTGAACTTAAAGGGATAGATGAAAACTTGCCAATATACATGTGTACATTATGACTTTATTGAGAAAAATCTTCTTCAGAATAAAACTTCCCTGAGTCAATGGTTGGTTTGACATAAGGAACACTGTTTTTTTATCTAGTAGTGATATTCATTATGGCATGGATAGTCTTCTCACATAAATTGGATGGAAGTGAGTTTGGAAATAAAAAGTAAGTACTTAGCCGGAATTCAAATGGTGTATACAATTCACTTCACTGATTGGTGTCTTATTATCCTGATTTCTTTAGAGGAAGTGTTAATCAATGCTACACCCATTATAAGTATTCAGGTGATTACAGTCCAGAATAACTTGATCAATTGAAATTTCAATGTACCACATGCTAATTTACTTCAGTGTAATAATATTTCGACAGTGTTCTGAAAGTATAATTCATTTGAAGGTGGCTTGCAATGACAATTCACCAAGTAGATATATCTACATTCTAATGAGTAATGTTATTCCCACTGAGAATCGAACTAAGTACCCACAACTCTAAACACTGGAACGTC